CGAATGGAAAGTGAAAGCAAAGTTCTTAGTTTTTCTACCGAGTGCCGATTTAATTCGTTGCAATAATTGAAGAGAATGCCAAAATGTCTAAAACAATTGTACTTAGAGCCTCGAAATTTTATCTCATCATCATCATCATCATTTATTATTTCATGGCATTCAAATACTTTCTTCAAATATTTATCTGATCTTATCCAATGTAATATATAAATTTCACTTTTGTATTTCGAGAAAATTCTATAAAATTATTTTAAAAAATCCTGAGATTTTTTCTATTTTAAAAGCATCTACGGAAAATATTAGTAACATACAAATTAAAACTGAGTATTTAATAATTATTTTAAGAAAACAATATATGTTATCCCACGTTTTTTTTATATTATTATTAAATTATTTTGTGTAATCAAACCTCAGAAATTTTAATCCATTGCAAATATATAAAAAAATAATTTTATTCAATTAAAATAATTTTGTGTACAACACACACAAATATGTTCAACTAGAGTAAGCATTCGTTAAATTGTTTGCAGCGTAACAGATGCAAATTGAGACAGATCACGACACAGAACGCTAACGAATGCATAGTGCTATAGATAAACATACGCAGTAAATATACGATAAATTTAAAAACATGAAAATCTGTGATGGTTTTATTTTTTGTATTATTTAATTTCTTTCACGACCTAGAACGAACTAAACCCAAGTAGCACATAAATAATATATTAACTAAAATAAGTACCGATTTATGTCCTAAAGTCATACTAACATTTTTAATCAGCACTGATCAAGTTTCGAATCTGTTTAAAGGCATTTATTTTATCTAATAATGCTTAATGCCATATTATGGTTAATAAAAAAAGTATACCAATGTCAAAACTCCTATTTAAGTATTGGGTAATATTAATATAAAGCTGTTATCGTATTTCGGTGATATGAAAAACATTATATATTATATAAGCATTAACGTAATATTATTTAGTGCACTTAGTTGTATTTAGTCATTTTCTAGAAACAAAGGTTTTCTAATGGTCTATGATTGTATCGATTTAATGCTTATCCTATATAAACATTGAATAAAGAACTAGTAAAACTTTAGCACCGATTTGTTCTTAAAGTATTCTTTAATCAAGCTCAAGCTCCTTTATCTTCTTAATCTATGCTTTTATAAAACATTAGGCTATATTTTGATCAATATTAAGTTATTTATAGAGATACAAGTAATAAATAGATAGTAATTATTTTTTATGTGAAATTAAAATGTAAAATTATTTTATGTATTGTATTGTAATGGTGGCATTTTATACGCATCGCTGGCGCTATGGACAAAAAACGTTGGGAAAAACAAAGAAAACAGGTGGATATAAAAGAAAACTGAAAAAGAGTATTCTAATTTAATTGAAGCTTTTAAAAATCAAAATAAAAATGAAATAATCGTTCGATGATTATAAGCACTATAAGATACTTCTGAAGTGTTAAAATACGGCTGTACTTAAAATGGGAGTGTGTTATACGGTGAATTACGAGCTCTTAGTTTTGTGTCTAACCATAATACGATTAACAGCTCTACTACACTATATTTGAATACCTAATGCTTTAATTTTACGAGTCGCCATTTGCTTTCTTTTTCCAATTCTTACAAAATATTTAAAGTCAACTGTGTCAGATGAAAAGGGGTAAATAATCATTTATTTTGTGCACAGATGCCTATAAAAGCAATTATGTTGTTAAAACAATGCTAAAAAGCCTAAAATTCAACAAAAAATTTTGCTACTAGGTTAAATTTTCTATTATTTTTATTATATTAAAGGAAGTTTGCGAAGGCGCGTGTATTTTACACCATAAACTTGTATATTTTACTCCACAAACTGATGTTTGCAGCTTATTTCACACATAACGAGCTGTTTAAATCAATATTAAAAAATACTTAAAAGACCAGCCAAAAGAACATGCCATGACACTTACACAAAACAATAACTTAAACCGATTATATATTTTTAAAATCTATTAAATATACTTTTTTTACAAAGGAAATAAAACAGTAAGCATTTTTATAACATTAAATTAACGTATTATAATTTGATTTACGCATATCAATCGTAATATAGTCACAAAAAGTTCAATTAACACTATAAGGTGCTAATTGAACTTTTTGTGGCTATTAGAACGCTTTTACCCGACTTTATTAATGCTATTATACAAAAGTTGTAGTGCTATTGCACAGCTTTTATAAAGCTTAAAGTCGTACAAAGGGGGGGCCCAAATTTTATGTATAAGAGTCGTTTAAAAGAAATACGGTTGATATACGATTTTATTATAATGCTTAACGCTTGGACTCGTGCTATTATAAGTTTGATATAATGGTGTTTTGTGCTACTTGGGAAGGTTTGATATTTAGTATTAGGTTACCTACCTAACGTTGTTTTTTTTATTCGGTTTGTGAATAATTGTTATTGTACTTATACATGACTTACAAATGCATATCATCATACTTAGGCACATTTTGAAAGCACAATTTGTTAGTTTTCATTTTATAGCGAATTATTTTTATTTTTTTCTTAAAATTACTTGTTTAATAATGAATAAAACTAAATATAAAATAAAAATTTTCTTCATTGAGTCGACCGGGAATCGAAACTCAGACCTCAACCTCAAAGTGTGGTCAACTTTAAGATCGACGTGAGAATTTATAGGTCTTCATATATTTCGTTACCAGTTATTCTATTGTATTCTATCTATATATATAAAATACTTGCGTTACCGAGTGACTTACTGACTGACTGACTGACTGACTGACAGGCAACGTACAGCCAAAACTACTGAGCGTAGAAAGTGGAATGGAGATTCCTTAGGGAGTGTAGAGGAGCACTAAGATACTAATCACGGGATTTTAAGAAAATCGATCCCTAAGGGGCTAAATTAGGGGATGAAAGTTTGTATGAAACTTCGTTATTACAAGTGCTAGGAATTTCAAAATTTGCATGCGGGTTCTTTTTAAGACGTAGCTGCTCACTACGATGGGATTTTACGAAATTTGAATTTTCTCATTTCTGCAATCAAAACTAAATCACGCGAACGAAGTCGCGGGTAAAAGCTAGTTTAGTAGTATAAAACAATTCCGCCAGCGGCTTCGCTCGCGTGATCTTGTATTATACATAAAAAACTTCTTTTTGAATCATCCTACCTATTTAAAAAAACCGCATCAAAATCCGTTGCGTAGTTTTAAAGATTTAAGCATACATAGGGACAGAGAAAGCGACTTTGTTGTATACTATGTATGTAGTGAAGTCGTTTCCCACTATCTATACGTTGAGATCTTATACCTATACTACAATATATGTATATAATGATTTAAACGGAAGGTTTATATTTATAATACAGGCCCATGCGGGCCAAGCTAGTTCACTCGTAAAATACCAACAGTATTAAGAGAAAGAACTAAATCACAAAAAAAAACACATTAAAAAGTTACTTCAATACACTTGTTGGCTCTTTGTTTACGTAAATCACAGAAAGTTTAGAGTGCAGCGAATCGCACGGCATCAGGTGCGATACATTCACGCAAATATTTTATGAAAATACCAAGAATGTTAACGTTAAGGATGCGCGAGTGTCCACGATAAATATTATTACAATCATTTCAAGTTCCGTTGGATGGAATTAGTATAAAAATGATAAAAAGCAAATCAAATAAACGTAGTTCAATACGAACAAACCAAAATTAATACGTCTTTTCAAAGATAACTGAAGAAGTATATATTACATGAAATAATATTTAAACTTTTTGAAAAAACATATTTAATACAAAAATATTTTATCAATTACATTCACCTTTGCTGAAAATAATGCAACTGAATACCTACTATTTGCTCTACTATCACGAAGTCCAAAGTCCAAACATATCTATTATTTACCATCACGAACAATATAACTAACTCAATTGCTTTAAACATTGTTTTGTCGAAAGCAATTAAAAGAAAAAATCTAAATGAGCCGACATCGAGTGTCGTGTAACACTAACGTCGCGACGCGGCCACATCTAGAGCCGAACGGTAAACACTTTGCTGTAATCTCGAGATGAGAAAACTTTCAGTTCTCTTAATTCAGAAACTTATTCAAGAACCTAACAACCTTAGAGCGGACCGCGCCGGCGGACGTAAGACAAACAAACTTGTCTACTCTTTAATCTAGTCCCGGGGATACTACATTCGTATAGATTTGCCTAAAATTGGTCTAATATGAATTTTAGCCTCCGAGATAAGTTTTCTATATTTATATTAAATATATTAAGTAAAATAATCGCAAAATGAAAACCATAACTAAATATATAATTTAATAAAACAAATGTATAGTTTATCGACGATATTTCAACTTTACATTTTGAAATAAAACGTAAAAAATGTTTCATGTTAAATTCAAGTGACACTTTTTATTTTCTAAAAAACTCTGAAAGACTTTAAACTGCCCGATTGTTCGTAATTTAGTTTAATCGATCAAGACAAAGTAATACGCTGTAATGTTTCAATTCCAAAACAACGTTGATAACGAATACTTATTTATCGTTCAAGTCTATTTCAACAGCTGGATCGAAGTAGTTCTCAAGTGCTATAAGCCCATCAAGTAAACAATGGCAGACATTTCAGGATTAGGTGAGGTGACGTGGCAGATCACGAGAGTTACATCACGTTGTAAACAAATCTTTATCACTTAGCGAAACTGACTCGAAAGAGAACGCGTGCTTTACAATACGTGTCTCGAAAAAATGGAAAATTAAAAAAGTAATCGAAAGCAATATCAATAATCTCTCTCCTGTGTTACATACGTGTTTGTCTGTCGACGGTAAGGGCAATGAGAAAACTCTCCAAAAAGAAACTCGATACTCTTTTAGTAAAAAGGTTTGTAAATGATTTTATGTTATGTGAATCGGCTATTAAAAAATCTGTCAATTTTAAGATTTAAACAAATCAGGTGATAAATTGTAATGTTACCCTTGCAATACTATTTAAGCATTTCGGGTATATGAAAACGGAACGCTATTAGTTAGAACATTAAATAAATGTGAAAAAGTTGCAAATTTTATGTTCTGACTTTGTGTAGATGAGTCCGGCAAAGCGAGTGCCCCAAGACGTAGATTCGAGGCCCAGTGTGATAGTCACAGACATGGACACAGTGCATGAAGAAAATGACAACGATAATGACAGGTACGTACTATTTTTCATTCAAAAAATAAATATTCTTTCATAGCATTCTGGATAAATAATAGATAGATTTATTAGAGTTTTTACACTAACTTATATATTTTAAATTCGTTTACTTTTCCAATTTCTTCGAAATATAAGGTTCTGAATTAGACTTTTTAGGGTTCTGAATCCAAATGATAAAAATGGGGCTCTATTACTATAACTCCGCCCTCCGTCCGTCAGTCACCTGGATGTATGTCATGATCTGTGCTAGCGGGACAGTTGAATACAGATGATATATACAGTTGCCGCTGTAACAACAAATACTAAAAATAGAATAAAATAAATCTCCCTAGGAGGTTACAACTAATGTGATTTTTTTGCATTTTTTGTAGATAATGGTACAAAACTCATGGCTGGATTTTTGTTTAAGATAAATTAAATCGAAATTCGTATTGTTATCTTTTACGGAAAGCGAAAAAGTATCTTATCAAAAATATGCCTCGTTTTTCATGATAACTTTCTTTTATTTTCACAAAACTTTTGTGTTGTTATTTAATACTCGTATATTAAAATAATAGTATTGATTCTTTAACGGTCAACAAAAATTATATTGATGATTAATGATTCTTTGTTATTCAAAAGGGTATATTCTCGAGGAACTTTATCGAACTCGGATCAGTAGATTATAAAATAGAACTACTTACATCATCTAAACTATTTAGACGATATTATTGACTTCTAAAAATCCTTGTGATTCGATAAACTTTATTTGAAGTATGGGAGTTATAAAAATGGTCAACAAGTTTTAGCTATTATGAAGTTTATTATTTTATAAAATTTGTTTATTGAATTATTCAAAATTATTTTTACATGTATACATTAATTTAACTCTACTATTTTAGAATTTAGAAACTCGTATTTTTTACAATATTATATTTTCATATGATAGTTATAAGAATAAACTTACTTGTACTAAACATAATGAAAATACCAAACAAAGCCCACACATGATGTACTCACAAAAGCAAAACTGAAAAATCAATATTTTTATGGCTATTTTATCGCTTTTATACTTTCACAAAAACAAATACTACCCTGTTTCCATACAAAATATTCTAAAATGGTGGGTTTGATACATTTTGATTTTAGCATCTGGCATAGTAAAAGCGAATTTTATTCTAAGGCTATGTAACATAAATTTCAATAATCGGCTCAATAGAAATAAATCGCAAAGATATTTTTAAGACTAACATATTTCGACTTTACTATATAAATAATATATACAAAAATGGGTTTTTATATAATCTAAATTAATCAAAAGATTTTCTTTTTTTTTATTGTTTTTTTTTCTGCGATAAAAAATGTATGAAGTCTAGCGTGCGCATCTATACTCTCGATGCGTATTTGTTTGTGTAAAAATGAGGACACGTAAGCGGAGGTACAAACGGGCCTTAACATTATTATCTATTCAAATTTATAGATCCCTTTCTTGTATTGATTAGGTATATTCGCTATAAATTATTTTAAAAGCATAGAGGAAATGAATAACGTCTTACTTTCTCAGACGAGGCGGTCGGGAGGCTCGTCGTAAACAATACCCACCCACTCTAGATCTTTACAGTTTCATTAAAGTTTCTTTTGAATTTTTCTCCATTATATCCGTTCTGCACTTTTATCTATTATCTTAATACGCAATCGTTTCTTATGATTTTACTACGCTGTATTTTATTGCTAGTTTAAACTATTTGACTACCTTTTATCTTATTTACTAGGTAACTGTTCTTTTATCCTTTGAAAATAACAAAGTATCGTAATGTCCAAATGGAAGTGTCATTTAAATTATTAGCAGAGGTCGGAATTAGGTAGAGTTATTTATGTACTTGCATCGAAATGTTGATATTAATGTGGACCTTCCCGGGATTTCTTTATTTCTTCTTTCTTTATTTCTTTCTTTCATTGATGTAAGTTTGGCAACGTCGTGCGTGCAGTAGTTTAAATTGTGTAAAAGTAAATAACTTTTTATTTAAAAAATCACGGGATTTTTTCTGCTCTTTAAAATTAATCTCGGGATTTGAGGCATATCCACTTTATTCTTTCGCTGTATGAAATCAGTGTAAGTACATGAATAACTCTATCTAATTCCGACCACTGATTATTAGGCAAAGTTTTGATTTGCTATTTGGTTTAGAATTTAATTTTTGCTGTTAACTATATTGCCTTTTCAACTCAATGAATAAATAAAATGGAAAACCATTATTTTAGTGAATAAACAATAGGATATACATACAGTGATCATACATACATAAGTGATCTCGAAGTAGAAATATCGTTATATTTTTGATATTCCCAGTAGCAGCAGGATAAACAGAAGCTTAGGAACACATTTCCCGGAAACGGATGCACATTTTGGAGATTTTCCTTGGAAGCCATGTAGTCCAAATAGTTCAATACAGTGCAGACGTTTCTTTAAACATTCGCATATACAGTAGGAATGTTTATATATCGAATATAATAAAGTGTTTCGATATTAATTATAAAATAAAGTAAAATTGTCTTTATGTTTTCTTGTAGCTGTTTGCTAGTATCGCAATTGTAAGATAAAGTATTTTTTAACGCAAATTCACTACCTGAAGACACAAAATTTTTCAAGAAACATGAAGTCGGGGTGACGTTTTCTGTAGTTTATTAAATGAGAACCGATCGACTTCAAGGTTTCTTGAAATTTTCTCCGTTTATAAGATAAGTATTATATAAGTCGGTTTTTTTAAGTCGGTTCAAGTTTTTGAAATTTCTTTTTAAATTTATATTGTATATATAGTTATTCTTTCTAATTATAAAATTTGAAATTAAAAAAAAAATTTGCAAAAGCAACCTAAACACTTTTAGGAACATACTGTAGTTTACTGTAAACATGAAAAGCATGCACGAAGAGGGATTTCGGTGCAGTGTATGCTTCGAAAATATTTATGACGTTTGATAGACTGCTTTGTGTCGTGATACACACACCCATTTCGTTTCTAGATAGTGTCGTTAGATTTATTCAAAACTACACACAGTATTTTATATATTGTCTTTCAAAGGAATAAAACTATTATTGTAAGATATAAGGGTAACCTACATTTATAAAATGGCTATGAGTGTGGAAGGCCATAAAGAAAAATAATAAGCAAAATGAGCTTTGTGACGATCTTTATTGAACACACTAAAGTTATAGTCTGAAAAATTCCAATAGGTAAATTAATGAAACATTATTGCTACAACTAAAGTAAGTCAATAACCGAATCACTCTAGTAAACTGCCTACATATTAATTTGCAAATTTACTCTTCCGTAATGTTCGTAATCATATGTATTTGTAATAATCGTAAATTGAGAACTCAATAATGCATATTAATTGGCGGGAAAGACATCTTGATATTCACATCCTTTAACTTAGAATTAATCTTTACGCCCATGTTTTTCGTCACATGGTAAGGAATATAACAAAGCTCTGTCTCGAAATTTTCGATTAACAACGACTCTGAGTGCAAAAATCACAGCGGCTTGTCTCAAATTATTAGTGACAACAAACAATTACTAACACGCTTTGCTAGAAATTGTACCTTTTTTTCTTATTTTTTGTACCTACTTTCTTGTTCCTTTATTTAACAAAGCAAAGATTTTAAAAAGCATCGGTGTTGATTTAAAATTGTGGTAAGATAATTTATCGAATAACAGTATTTAAACACAGTAGAAACACAGCACGTCAAGTAGCAGTAGCTAAATCGACAAATTAAAAGAAGTTTCTTGAATTTTTTGACTACATATGTGAACTGTATGCTAAATATTAAAGATTTTTTGTTTTCGAAAATATGGGTTTATCACCTAAACCTTTCATATTTAGAACTCTTTGTTCTATTATGGCAAGTCTAGTTTACTAAAGTGAAGAAAACATCATAAAGGGTTTAGCCGGATACGTATGACGAGTCGGCCCCCAAATGGGAATCGATATTGAAACTTATGTTTTAATATCGACTTGATGTTCAAAAGATTTGTAGAATAAATTTGTAGAATAAAAAATTAAAAAACTATAAAAAATTTAAAACTTACATTAAAAATATAAAAAATAAAAAAAACATGTTTTTTTTCTGAGTTCTCTGTGACTTACAATCACGAAATTAATATATGTTATGCTCCTTTGTGTGCTCTATTACCCATAAAAATTGCGTGAAAAAAAAGTTGGTGCAACACAACGAAAAAAAATTATATGTGATTTCTGTCTTATGGTATACCCCTGTATTATAAGGTTTTCACATTACATCATTGGTTTTTTTTCGAAATTTCACATCAGCCTGTTTTAAAACATAAGTAACTAGTCTTAAGAGATGGGATAATAGTTAAAAAAGAAATTTAAAAAAAAACAGCCAGTGTTCAATACTTATTATTATTACTTTTTCGTGTCTATCAAAATACAAGAAACAAAATATTAATCATCGTCACTGTTGTAATTAATTACAATCGGAACACTTTGAGTCGCAAATAACTTAGTTAGGACCTCAGCAGGACGTACGATTTTGGACAAATATCATCCATATGATAGATAATAAATAATAGCTGCTACATGAGAACAGCATCCCACTGTACGTTTCGGAAATATAGTGAATGTAAATTCGATAGACTTTTCTATTTATATGTCTTGATTTTACTTCTGCTTTGATGATATTAGGTGCTGATTTCACATATTGTACTGAGAGATTATTTTGATCGTCCATTATTTCGGCCAAGTTAAATGCTGCACATTTAGAAGTAGAAGCTTTTTTGTTAATATATGGGATAAGTCGACACTTCTTACATAAAATATCATTAACTATTACGATTTTATTCAAACAGTCACTAAACACTTTAGCTTCTTCTTCATTCTTTATAATTTTTTTATAACCAGGAATCTTACAACATATCTTACACAGGTACTTGTTACAATTTTTACACACTCTCGACATTATTACTTAATAATGATTTGGTTCGATAGTTAATAATTTCAAAATGCTGATACAAAATACCCATGACAGAATTGGAGTCCCAAACTGCCTTCTTGTGTAATACAAATGACTGCTACTTTAGCTAAACAAACGATGCAGTAAACAGCTCGATAACAAGTTCGAACTTGTTTGTTTATACACTCACACTACAAGGCGCGAATCACATATAATTTTTTTTCGTTGTGTTGCACCAACTTTTTTTTCACGCAATTTTTATGGGTGATAGAGCACACAAAGGAGCATAACATATAATAATTTCGTGATTGTAAGTCACAGAGAACTCAGAAAAAAAAACATGTTTTTTTTATTTTTATTTTTTTTATGTAATTTTTTATTCTAAAAATTATAAAAAAATATATGTGATATACTCTGTAATGTAACCTAACACCTCGCGTTAGTTTCACTTCTTTATCTTAATTAGCTTCAGAGATATATCACATTCAGTAATAGTCAAGCATACGGATATTTTGCTCTTTATCTCAAGGTCAAAGCGGAAGTCGGTCGCGAAAAGTACATAAATCGTGTTTGAACATCAAGTCTATATTAAAACATAAGTTTCAATATCGATTCCCATTTGGGGGCCGACTCGTCATACGTATCCGGCTAAACCCTTTGTGAAAAAATGTACATAGCATAATTTAATTAACCTTTCATCACATAATAAACGTAAGTGAATATCATGGGAAAATAGGCATGGGGAGTCTTTGCGATACTACTTTCATATTTTGTAATAAAAACAGTTTCGAACTCGACGGCGAGCATAGAACTTAGCAACTTAGCTTAGCTTAGCATAGAGGTTCAATAAAATTAAAAAAAAAGCTTTATTACACTTTGTAATAGGTTTTATTCAATTAAGCCACAGCGCCTAGCTTGACATGCTTAACATCGAATTCAACTCTGATTTTTACAGAATCGCAGTACAGAGATGCAGCCAAAGAGCATTAAAGAGTTTGCGATTTGGAGTTAAAAATAATAGCTAAAGACATGTTAAAAATAATTTGGTTATGGACTGTTTATTTTTTTCTTATCGTTTATATTGAACTTATTCTTAGTATAAACCTTTGTGGTTTTTATTACAAGCTTTTATTTAACTTGCCTTGTATAGTTAGTGCGCAAATCTTGGAACTCAAATTTGACCCACTTCCCAGTGTCCGATAGATTTGAAATTTTGTATAGAGATGTATGTCAGATTACAATGCAATTATGGTGTCAGTAAGCCGATAATTATGAAGTCATAAGGTGATGCATCGTGTTTGGTCTCGGTAGATCTGTCTTCATGAGAATTTTGGTAATGGATGCTTTCCAGACCAAGGTCTGGTGATGATGGAGCTAGGAGGTAGTCATAGGAACTTAGCAATGAAATAACGCAAGTGCATCGTGTTTGGGCCCTTTAATCCGTCTTTATGAGAAAAACAACTATTAAGACAAAACGAAGAAATAAAAAATATAAATTTAATAAAAAAAAGCTTTTATTTGTGCGCATTTAAACGTAAAAAAATCTACACATTTAAAGTACTTATTATCAACATTTTCTCTCTTTCAGTAATTGACTTAAAAAGTTTGTAGCACGTAAAAAAATATGTGTATTTTCTCGTCTTCGATTTTGTTACCGTACCATTAAAGAAATTTTTATTGTAAGTTTTTTAATTGTTTAGATTTTTTTTATTTTTTGTTGAATAAGGTGATAAACAATTATTAAATATATTTTTATTTATAAATTCTGAGTATATTACTCAGTATCACTACTTAATATAGGTCGGCAGATAAATAAATACATTGACAAAATTCAATTGATTGAGATGCCATTTAAGATTCCTTTAACAGATTTGAGGCCCTGTCCGTAGCAATCAATCATAAAAATCTGACAATTATTTTCGCGCATGATCCAATATCATCAAACTCCAGTTGTCGTACTAGACTATGTTGGGTGATCGTGTTTGCATTGGATGTAATGTATTCAGCATTTTCAGTATACTTGGGTTACGACCACCTACTCTCTAGCCATGACTCTAGCCATAGGATGCGTCATCTTAGCGGTGTTATGGCGACATTTCGTTACATTTCACTACTTTGACATGTACTTTAATAACGACGAACGAATGATATATGCCATCGCTAGTATATCGTATCCTATGGCTAGAGAGAGATCGTACCACTGAAAACCCATTTGAATTTAAAATCATAAGACATAACTGCCTATTCTTTTTGATCATCAGCGACGAGTCGTCTTACTCGGATGTGGTTAGACTCCGTGAGCGGACCCGTGCGATGTTGGAGGCGCCCACTGAGACGGGGGCGCATGCACATTCGCAGCCGAACAGCCGACGCATGTCAGGTGACATTGAATCAAAACTCGCCACAAATCTGAACACAAGGTAAATTCCCATTTTTACCACTAAATCAAATTTAATACTGCTACTAACATTAACTATCGTTAACAATATACATGCGGAAAATCAGTGTCATTACTTTTTTCGTGTGCGCTCTTGATTTTCTGTCTCTACTATTTATATACTGAACTTTCAAACAATAAAGTTTACGAGATAAGGATTAAGCCAGCTTAGACGAAGATAATGGTTGACTTATCTTCGAAAATTACTTCAAATCGCAGAAAATTAGCAAAAACATTAAAGTAGATTTTCAGATTTATTGTGGACTTTTTTAAATATTCAATTTTAGTGTCATTTTAAATACCTAAAGTGTGAATCAATAATTTTGGTTCTCTCTTTCATAATATAAGACAAATTCATCTACAAAAATAAAATAAAAAATAATATATCGATCAGCTTTAAATAAAAAAAAGGATGACTTCAATATTAGCCTATGTTACCAGACGACCATCAGCTATAATTGCAGCGTTTCGTCGACCGTCGCAAGCGCTCGCTCTGTGCGCGGCTACACAAAGGAGATTCCTCTCTGAACTGGCACCACATTCTAGAACTTCTGTCTCTTCAACAATACACGAAGCTCCACCATCAGCCGCTGAGATTCTGGGACAGTGAGTATGAACTGACAACAATAAGAAGTGATTTTTAGGGTACTGAAAGGGTAAAAACGGAGACCCTATTACTAAGAATCCTAATTTTGTACCCCTTTTACGACAATTACTACAAACTACAGTTAGAGTTAATATACCTTCCTTCCATTTCTACATTGTTTATTTATGATTAAAATCTTTTTTTGACATATATAACATTTATACATATGTAAAAATAAAATTATATATTTTGGAAAATATATAAGCTTCCTTTAATTCTTCAAACATAGCCACAGAGAATTATATACCTAATCTTTGACAATAAAACCAATACTTTGAAACTAACAATTGGAATTCAATCACGCCCGCCGCCTGATCACCTGCGGACCACAATACGGGTGTAGACAGTAAACGAAAATAAATACATATTATTTTTTCTAGTAGTGTTTAATATAATTATTACCGATAATCACACTTTTATGCTTATCATACTCGTTGTCACGTGGTCGCAAACATCGCATGACGTCACGCCCCTGCTATTCAAATTGGACCTTAGCGAATAAAACCTTAAGCATACATAGAACGATATTAGTTTTAGAGGAACCTGAAGTCATAGCGATGCCATGTCAGAAGTTGCCGTTTTCGAGGAAACTTTGAAAATAAAATTTATTTTTATATTTTAAATTATTATATGAATGATACTTTTTTAATATGTATATTTTTTATATCTTTCATGTATATCTATAAAACAAAAATATAAAACGAATTTGTTTGATTGGTTGGAGCCACAATAGTCAAAAAACTTTGCGTAGACTTCAACTTTAAATAATAATTAGAATTTATTTTATATTGGACGAAGGATAGTTTATATCGGGAAATATACGTTTAAATAGAGCTATAATAATAGAATTCCACGCGGTTGAAAGCTAGTTACTAATAATTTCCCATGTATAAAACTTTATTGTATTAAAGTGAGTTGCAAAAGTTTTACGCATCTCCAAATAAATCAGGTCAAGCTGGCTACAACCCGCAAGCGGCTGGCGGCCGACAGGCTGTGCACGACAGTTCGCATCTTTATTCGCCCACAGCATTTGTTTATTCAACAAGACTATAATAACAGCTTTAATAATCTATTAGGTGCTTTTATCGCAAGAAACGTTAGTCTTAATTAATTAATTCCTAACAACGTATTAGGTTGGGGAAAAGTGTTTTCGCATATAATATGCATAAACTTGTAATCAAATTTTCTGGTTATACAATTTGTATCTGGCTGGTTTTGGTATTAGTTTAAAGTTAAAATTTTAAAGAAAATAACTATGAAATCAAATTAAAATAATGTGTGATTTTGATTTGTTTTTCTTACAATCAAAATTAGTGACCTAGGACCTAGTGCAGTTTCTATGAGTAGAACAACTTCAGTTTCATCGTTTTAAGTAGATTGATAGACAAATGAGTTATTTCTTGCCAAAATACACACACACATTACATGTCATTCAACGGAAAGATAAATAATTATGTAGATGAGACAAATGAACATTAGAAAAAAAAATGTGTGTGTGCGTCACAGCAGTACACAATGGTCCCAGTTCAGCGTCAAATATTCACGCGCCTGCAATGCGAGCAAATCGCTGATTTTCAGCTGCGACCAAGAGTGAACGCAAACACGGTACTAAAAGTACGGTACTTAAGTCGAGAAATTTGATGTCAAAGATGCATGTGCATTACGAATAAAATGGATGCTATTTTTTGAAAAAGTGGGGCAAGAACGGCATATCAGTAGTTACAACGTAGCTGAAGAATCCTCAGATTGGCCGCAAAATAGTTTTGGCGCATTTGAAAAAATCTGGGTACACAAAAAAGTTGGATATTTAGGTACCTCATGAGCTCACTGAAATTTGTGATTATTTATTACGGCGTAATGAAACCGAACCATTTTTGAAGGACCTAATAACTTGTGATGAAAAGTGGATCGTGTGAAAAAGTTCGTGGTCGGTCAGGATTCACAGACTATGGCGAAACCCGGGTTAACTCGCAACAAGGTGATGCTGTGTATATAGTGTGGGATTGGAAGGGCATTACTCGTTATGATCTGTTAGCGCCAGGCAGGACCATCGATTCTGAACTCTACTGCGAACAACTGATGAGATTAAAGCAAGAATTTGAGAGAAAGGGGTCAGAATTAATCTATAAATGAGGTGTGGTTTTTCATCATGATAACACTAGGTCTCACACATTTTTTGCCATTTAGCAAAAAATAAAGAAATATTGGCTAGGAGGTGTTAATGCATCCGCCGTATAGTCCTGACCTTGTACCTTCAGATTTCCCCCTGTTTCGTTCTCATCAGAATTCTTAAGCAGTGTCAGATGAACATCACGCGAGGTCTGCCAAAACTACTTGAGAGGTTTTTTTTTATCAGAAGCCCCAAAAATTCTTTATCAATGTGATCATGTCCCTACCTACAAGATAGCAAAAAGTTATCGAACAAAATGGTACCTACATACATTGATTAAATGTAAATGACCTTTATTTAAAAAATGTTTTTTTAATATAAAATGCGAAGAAATTTTTTTCCCAAGCTATAACACAACTTTTATTCAAATTTTGATATTAATAAATAAAAAATGTAGTACTCCATATTGCATCCATCCATCCATTAAATCCACATTGTAATTCTTGAATGAAAAATTCACTTCTCATGTTAGATTTGCAATATTGGATATATTAGTACTGTTTGTAAGAAATTGATTTTAAGACACTTCCAAAGAATATTATTTTTAATTGAAATAAGTATGCTGGAATTTACGAAATAAAGTTAACAATTATTTATTTTAGCTACCTATGAAATACTTTTCTTCTTTTCTCTTTTATTTTATTCAGTGCGTCTAGTAATTAGAAATTTTACTTACTTTTTTATATTGATATGTAAATAGTAAATATGCACACAGAATCTTGTCAGTAAATATCTCTCCTAATAAGTAGGTATTTCCAATTATTCTGATACTTCATGATTAGGATTTAAAGGTTTTGTTTTAACAAAATTTGAGCAACGCGATATTGCAAAGAGGATTTACTTACAAGCTACCGAACCATTATGTCAATGATATCGTCAGGCACTTAGCAGTGAATAAGGGAGCAGGGGCCCATTTAGAGGTGAATAATATTCAGTTGGGTAACGTCATGCCGTCAGCATTATACAGGCGACAATGCGAAGCTCCGCGTCAACACCATTCAAAAGCACACCCTTTATTTGTTAATAGACAGACAGCTCGACAATGCCTCTCTGAGCGTTCACTACATATGCCGCCCGATAAACGTAATTAAAATGTGAAAATGTTTATTTCGCTGTCATATCGGGAGTTCGCGTACAAGTTGTCTATTTAAATTCGAAGCAAAACAATACTACCGTGAAATTGTAATAAGTTGGTTGAACGTAACAATTTCCTGATGGCTTTCAGGCATCATGACTCAATTTAAAGGAATATTTTCATTGATAAAATACTAAAGTATAATTCTTATTACTTTCGTATAATTCTGTAATCATAATATGTCAGTGTATAAATTATTGTGATGAATTTAAGTCATATTCAGCTAAAATTTACATAAACTAACAGTATAAAAGCCAACAATATGCAGTAATTGTAAAAGTAGATATTATTGTACTTAGTATAATATTTTCCACTTTTAGTTCATTAAACACAAATACACATACCTATATTTGTATATTTTTAGCGAGGCCTTGAGCAAGGCGCTCTCTGCATTGTACGCCAAGCTGCTAGTGGTATTAGGTTTAGCTTTTCCCGTAACAGAAGTTATCGCAGACGTTCCAGATGCATATTATCAGGTAATGAGTCCTAACCCGTATTTATTCTGTATTATAGTTATATTACATTATTTAAATTAATTTATTGTAAACTTTTCATTACAGGGTTTCTACTTGTACCTTTATTTAGTGTCAGTATTATTTGTAATCTTCCAATATGCAAACATAATGAGACAGAAGGCTGTCAACCTAATTATACATACATACGGTAAGTTTTATAATGAATCTAGACATAAAAAGTATATACATTGGGTGATTAGCAACATTTGCTTAACAAAATGCGACATTAAAATCACATCTTGTTTGCATAATTACGAGGACGAAAGAATATTACCTTCTTTAGTTGCCATTCTACGAACGTTTTTAGCCATTCGTTTAAATGTACAAACCGGAAAAGTTATATTGTAAGGCACATACACGAACGTATTACTTTTGATTACCACGAAATTTTTAAAGGTTTAACTTACACCATTTTATGTATTACTTCAGAAGATCCAGAAAAAGAAGACAAAAATGGCAAAACAAGTCCCACTGAGAAAATTAAAAGCAAAGAACCCAATTTATCTAGATACGGTAGTTTCTACCTCAGACTCGGAGCAATTGGTATTTATACATAATCTTTCTTAATAATTATTATTAATTACATACATGATAATATCGTTACTAATGTAACATTTATGTTATTTTACAGCATTCGGTATCGGCTCTATGGTACATAGTGGCCTAGAATTCGGGGAGTATTTCGAAATGACCGACCATTGCCGTTCTGTGATGTCAGCAGCAACTCCAGCGTTACGTATGTCCCTCACACTTGTACAGATGCAATTTATATTTTTAACAAACAAAGACATAGAGACTGGTTCATACAAATTGATACAACGATTCGGATTCATGCACATGATAGCTACTAACCTCTGCGAATGGTTATACGTCCTCGTAGAAGAAACAAAACACGAGATACACCATCTGGAACATTCTACCGGAATCTCTAACAGCACTCACAGTAATATCTCCGACTCCGAACACTGCAGAAGGGCTAACATCATGGGAACATTGCTACAGAATGCATCACCGTTCCTCTTTCCCTGCACAATCGAGTACTCATTGATTTGTGCTGTAATACTTTACGAAATGTGGAAAGAGGTACGCATTAGTTTGAAATGTACTCTTACATATGAGATTTTGCTATTCTTAAAAAGTATCTAATCCAATTTGACAATCATAAAACATGAAATCTACCTCATATAAAGACTAAAATACGTTGATGAGATTGTGGAAGTGGTTTCAATTATGAATATTAATGAAAGTATTATTTATAGGTCAAATGCACTCCAGAGGATTTTGAGAAAAAATTCAATTATACTAAAAACAAATCTCGGAATAACTCCGTTACTCCTGAAAAAATCCTGCAACAGTTCGGTAAAAATAATATCCATTGATACCAATTACTAAGTGATTCAAAACGTATCACAATCAATTATGATACACGTCACACAAACGCAAAACATAATAGCGAGTATCTTTTTAGCTGGAATGCTTGGAGTCGGAACGGCCCCAGATAGTCGCGCAGCACTACATCACTTCTCAGTAGACTGTTCCCATGCTCACCGTGGACTTTTTGGCGGCATCTTAATAATAGTTCTAACTATTATATCACTCATCATGTTCTTCGTATTAGCAAACCACTCTAACAGTATTAACGTAAGTGAATATGAATTATTCGCCATTATAAATCTATCGAATGATATCTATAATTTTCAATATACTTTTCAGGATGCCATATTTGAAGTGAATATCTGTGAAATAATCCTTTACACTATAACAATTTTAGCTTCTGCAATCGCCTTAAAACAAATGAGAGTATTGCCATATAAAAGGAAAGCTCAAGGTAGGCATCGAACACTTATAAATATTATCAATTGCTTTTATTGAAAATCATTGTATCAACAACGATTATGGTTACTTCTTTAATAAATATGTATACCTAATGTCTTCAGCTGTTCTTGGGCTGGATACTTCACTTCTGATCCTCGCGCAGACTGGAATGTTCGTGTACTGTATGTTCAGCCTGATAGGCAGTCATCACACGCTGCACAAGGGTAATGGTGGCGGTCTCACGGGCTTCTTCGCTGAATTCCTGTCATTTAACCAGGTAGCTACATAAACATTACAGACTCGTATAAATCACAGAATTTTTAAAACTGCACAGTTTTTTCTTATCATTAAAATAAACAAATACTGTTATTTTATATCTAGTCAACAAACAATGTGTATATTAATAAAAAACTTCCTTTAAGTGATCATAAGTAACAATATTTCTTAACTAACTAACACAATATCAAAAATTGTGCAATCATTAAAAAAGTTCTATATAACCGATCATGATATGATAACATTGGAAAATTGATGTGTTAAGTTTTCTTTATTTGAACTATGTGTTCTTTATGATCAATAAAGATAAGACCGCGCTATCTAGAAATGACATACGAAGTCTAAATTGCTAGTGTTAGCCAAATCTCATTGAAATGAATTATGTTTGTGGTTTTGTATTTGCAGACAATACTTCAGTCGTTATTTATAATCGACGCATGGTGGCGGCGCTGCAGCACAGCAGAACATCGCCAACAGAAGCCTGGACGACAACTGGTAACATTTCTACTCGTGGCTAACATGGCCATGTGGGCAATTAACACCCTCGAAAAAGTAAGCCTTTATTTATATGGACATTTTATTTTTTCATATGGACATTTTATTTTTTCATATGGACATTTTATTTTTTCATATGGACATTTTATTTTTACAATTTCATTTAACAATATATTAATTGAAATTATTTGATTGAAAATTGCTGACTAAAAGTACTCTGTAGGTAAAATCTACAGATAAAAATATAGATGACAATGATATAAAAATACTTAAAAATAGTATTTCTCTGGCGGATGACGGTAACTTGAAATTTTTTATTTACAAATTTTACTCTGCTCTTTCATATCCATAGCACAAGTAGAGCTTAAAGCTAAAAAAGTTATATACATATAAACTATTAACGTCTATCAATTTTTTTTTTATTGATTATGTGTTAATTTTTACATAATCAAAAAAAAATATTGTGTAACACCAAAGAATCCATAATAAAAAAAAGAATGGGCCAATTTTTTTTATTCATTCAGAATAATTTACTTTCATTTTGATAGCTAAGTCAAAATTATAAACGTCATACAATGGAATCATAAATAAATAGGGGAGACTAAATCCAATCTAAATTCAGACGATGTTGCATAGTTCAGTTTGATTTTAGCGGTCACAAATCTATTGTGCAGTAACTTGATTCAGTTTTTGTGATCGCTTGTACTCTTAAACCAATGAACTAATAAGTTACACCAAATAAACACAAAGCACAGATACACATAAATAATAACCAAACCCAAAGATCTAACTTATGATTTATTTAAGAACTGAATTTCCGCTAAAATTAATAGTGTAGGTATTCTGTTTGAGAAATATATATACACAGATCTTTAACGATAAATGGTTAAGAAATTCGTCAGTCCTATTGTGTCCATAACAGTTCAATGGTGAGAGCAATAGGTCGATTGTAAAAAGTTGTGAGTTAGAGTGCCATGTCGAGGTTCATGAGACCAGTGATTTTGTCAATATACGAGTAGGACTCGGAACACAAAATTGATAAATAATAATAAAAATTTATTGATTAATACAGCAAATAGCTGCACATTCATATATTTTCAAGCATATAATTGCTCAAATATTTCATGGTTTTATGTCTTTTTTTTATTTCTAATAAAATTATATAGATATCAAATGACTATATGTATCATGCATCAGCACAATACCTATAAATAACTTTTCTTTAATCTCAATTTATGTTTTTATGTTTGTTTTAAGAATCGTGCTGAGTTCCGGCCTGCCCACTTGGACTTCTATGGACCATGGGCGTGGACCATCATAACGCACGTGTCAATGCCGCTAGCCATCTTCTATCGATTTCATTCCACTATATGCCTATTCGAGATCTGGAAGAACAGCTTCAAAAATAAACCTATATACCTCAATGTTTAGTGTATTGATATAAACTATCTAAAATTATGATATTATTGTTTTTATTTCATCACATTATACTTAGTAAAATTGTGATCTGATTATATTGTATATACATAATTAATTAAATGAATCTTAAAAATAAACATAATATGTATTTTATTTTTAAATAAATTTTATTATTTTAAATAAAATAGTTTCGTATAGACAAAACATGTGCCTAAACCTACACGATTTAGTAATTTATGCAATAAAAATATTGTAAATATGTATGCAGCAGGATTAACATAAAAACAGGATATTCAAAACAGGAAAATTCTGATAATCTCTTATTATTATTAGTTTCTTATTTTTTTAAGTGATTCATCATCATCGATAGCATATTAATGTCCACAGTGCTCTCCTATCCTATTTAGTTCAGCTCGAGATTTAAAATTTTTGGGCACCTATACTTGAGTGGACTCTTGCGAAAGTTGCTTAACAACCATATCGCTGACCGAGCGCACTAATCATCGCGCCATCTAGCTCCAATTATAAAGATAACATGATAAATTTATCATATTAGCATCACAGTTTAGTAATTATGCATAAAATAATCATCAATTAGTCACACTGACGTAAATATTCACAATATGATGAGTAATATTCACAATATGATGAGGTTTGAGTTAATTAGAATAAATTACCAAGCCACAACTAAAAATACTTCTTCTTTAGTGTTTTTTGTGCAACACAATTGTCACCTACACCAAGCTAATTACTTACATTTACTAAATAAGCATAGAGATTATTTCATCACGTTTTGTGTACATACAGTCATATCTATTATTCTGACAAAAGATTTTTTGTAAATACATTTTCGTGGTCATTTCTATCAATAGAATTCTATCTTTTGTGCACTGCCGTTTCAAATAAATTTAAATATATATAATTTTCTTATGTTCTAACAATAGAAATCCATTTTAACATATTGAAGATGTTTTGTTCCCTAAATTATTAATACTCACACAGGAATTAAGGGATTAATTTAATTCTAATAATAAAATGATAGTATCGAAGTAACTGCGTAGTCACTTCGTCAGTTGAGTAACAAACAACTATTTTATACTACATTCTATCCCGCGATTTTGCCCGCGTAAATTATAGCCTTATATCACCCGTAGAAGAAATAATTGTTAAAATCGGATCAGTATTTTCAAAACCTATTGGATGCAAACTAGCAATCAAATCTTTCTTCTTCATAATATTAGTAAAGATATCTCAATACTTTGCAATTACAATAACAAAATTATAGCACCCAGTGCCAACTTAAGGTGATCGCCCGAAGCACAACAAGTGTTGGCTCAATACTAAAGAAAAAACTTCTGGTAGTCTGCTAAAAGGGCATCGCCCCACCTGCGTAAGAGACTTTGATGTAACTAGAAGGTGCTTGTAAAGAGTCCAGCTCTGTTTTAGTTCCGCCGCATTGCGGCAGACCGCAAAAAGCGCCCAATAGTCCAATTCCGCTAACGTTATTTTCGCATCTTAATAGAATCTCGACAACTTGCATTTTCCCGTTGTACTGTCTACCTGAAGTTAAATATTATTAGTGCTAACTTCCTCACAAATAACTTATGACAGATATTACATTAGCAGAATTGACCTACAGGTCCCAAATGTCTGAACCGATATAACCTATTAGCAACCTACGAAAAAGGTTCGTGGGGGGATTACCGAAATATGCACTTCCACGTCTTTAATAGAAGAGTGGAGTGACGTCATCGGCAGTGGGTTAACTAAAATGGGGTACCTAAGTGGTTGGACGATATCATAAGTTACATTTAAAGACAAAGGAACCACATAGTATTTTGTATAGATTTTTGCAATATCTATTTCTAATGTTATTATTTCCTATTTTTCGATTATTCATGTTTAATTTACTTTTAAATACGTAATGTAAGTTGACAAATGCGTCATAGCATTCAATGGCCTGCAGCCTAATTCCCCAGTTGAGATTAACCTTATCTGTAATGCTTGAGATCATAGCCTATCATTCTTAAGTATAGTCATAGTATATACTATATGTATCGGAGAATCAAAAAGCCCGATAAAGAGCTAAAGTGGACTATAACTACAGATAATTTTTTTAAATTGTCACATTTTGTGAGCTACAATGGAGGACGCTATTGAAGAATATTTTGAAGAGTAAGTATGAAAAACTACATATTTATGAATTTCTAAATGTCACTAAAATTAATATTAAGATCTTATATCTTTGAACTTTGATATCTAAGTAATTCGTCTAAGTACAGTTTAACTTTCATAAATTCGATTAAATAAGTATTATTATTTTAAAGTTTTCTGATAACGACAAAGGTTGTGCCGTAGTGAGACCCTAAACCTGCTCTGCTATTTTAATGTCTATAATAAAAAATACGTACCTAATATTTTTAATTATCCGAGTGAATAGATTTTCTATTTTTTTTCCCAGGCATAATTCCCTATTAGACAATTATAACTAGACAAAATATTAAATAAAATATTAATTATAACAAGATAAAAATACATACTAAAAACTTACGTTTCAGGGCTGTTGAATCAAAATGGCTCGCAACAATTCAACATGAGCATTATGAGCACGGATCCCACCACTACCACCCCGCGCGTCAGACCAGCACCAGCTTAGAACGGAAAATTCGGCACAGTCGGTTAGTAAAACATTTTCAATACTCCAATTTTAGAATTCAATAATCTGAAAATCTTTGTACATACTTGAAACAATTTACTCAATTGAAGATACTTACTGCTGTAAACAATACTCAGATTATCAGAAAATGCCATATAATATTGAAACGCTATAACGTTATTGTCACGACCCCATTAAAACATGTTTTAGAGAATTTTTGGCGCAACGAGATAACTGTCTAACGCTGTCCCTGAGGAGCAGATAATCCAGGAAATGCTTTTAACAATTATTATAAGAACATTTTGAAATTATATGTATAAAGATTTATCATTGAGGGAGATGTTTTAAGGTCATTAATAGACATAAATCTTGAATTTAAACATTGATTTTTACTTTTTTCAATTTAATGTGTCATAACTCCGGTGATATAAGGGAAAAACCGGTAATCCACCCGACAATATCAACGCCGAGCGTGGCCCTAGAGGACTCTTACAAACAATAAAATACGATCGTCCAATTTTTTGAAATATTTAACAAAGTCAATGTGAAATACGATAATGAGACCCTTATGCGTTGCCACACATTTCAAAAAACAAAACAAATATTGTGAACAAGCTGTATTGTTTCTGCTAATAAGTGTAATCATATCGCACATCGCACGTAATGTTTTTATACCGCTTAGTGCAATTGCATATCTCTAAAGAATGCATATTATTCGTTATCAAAGCACTGTAAAGACGCTCCATTAAAATGCTATCCGGACGAAATAACCGCTTTAAGGTAGACATCTAATTAATCGCAAGGTTGAAGATAAGAACTAGGGGTTATTGCAAGTAGTTTACCTGGAGGGAGGGTGCATGTGCCTCGTTAGCGAGGCCGTCTGAAAGTGACACCTAGCGCTAATTACCCGAGAGGACAACATCAGCTTAGTCTTCGCTATACCAATTAAATAAACAGGCCATATTGATTTAACAATTCCCTGTTTTATTGATATGCAAACTTTGCTTTAATTAAATTTATTCTTAGGACACCTATCGCTTTCATTTGTAAAGTAATATAGTTGAAAATGTACGCGAACCACTAAAAATTGTAGCTACTCGAGCACCATAGTCAAAAAGCTTCTTTTGCAGTCATTAGCATGCACTAATCCGCTTAATACGCTCTTGATAATATAATAAATACTTAACAAGTAAAAATTGGTTAGTACTAGAATATCAATAGTTAATACCCTACAATCATGCTTCTAAAATATGTATATACAATAAAATATATAATGGACCTCTCATTAGTACAGTCACGAATCATTGCTAATTTATTTACATACATCACGAGTGGCGCACTCTGCAGACTTGAATCATTAACACTTACAGACGGATCGCCGCAGTTGAGACTCGTTTAATAATAACCAAATCTATACATAAAATATAATAGTCGTTCACGCGATTTTCAAGTATAATAAAAAACAATACATTTTTATATTACGATGCCGTAATTTAGACATAGATGTTAAGCGTAGTGACAAAAAAAAATATTACATCGATTATGAATACAGCGAAAGAGTGGCGGGAGAGATCCGAACTGTTGGTGGCCGTGCCTGAGGATGAAAGGTGAGTAGAAACCTGGTGCTTCATTAAAATCCACTATTAGTCGATAAACGCTCCGCAAACAAAACAACTTCCACCGTAACTTTATATCGACACCTGTTTACTCGTCGAATAATCTCCTTCGACTTTTGATTCGGCGAATCGTCTACATCACTAATTAATGTAACGGAACGACGAGTGAAAGATATTAATATCTCAGGAACATGATTTATATGGTGTGTTAAAATGTAAAAAAAATATGGATACTCCATGATATTACTTTTAAATAACACACACACATGAATCCTTCACTTCATTAGACGAAGTCAAAATAAATATTACTGTACCAAAATAATTAGCAGTTGTAAATAAGCTATTATTCAGAAGTCAGAACTGTAATTTTTTTTCCATGGTAACTCAGGGAACACCCGCCGCACTCTTTGCCTCGTTTGAGTGTGGTGATGCCAGCCAGTACTAGTTCCAGTGTGGACAACCTTCCCCCAAAACCCAAAAGAAAATTTCTAGCACATGGAGAGTAAGTAGCATAACTTATTACTGGCAAATAATAACAGGAAAAAGTGTCAGCTTCTTACGACGAGAAATCGACTTTGAAAAAAAATATGAGTTCTCAATTTTGCATTTTTTTATTATGTTTGTGATAAGTATCTTGATGAATGAATTTGAATCTTTTTTAAAAGGGTGTCGTCTATTATTTTTATAAGTATTAAGGTAATGATGATCGTGATATAGCTTTTTGGAATCCTTGTATTGTGCCCTTTAATTTGATACCCATGTAGTATTCGTAATTCGCGTCGCACAGCCGCCATATTTTTTTTAACATTACCCATATGTTAATAAAAATAAAGTTAATTTTTTTATTAAAGTAGTATTCAAATCATTGTATGTCGTAGGTATATATATCTTAGTTTACTGATAGCCCTAAGTTGATTAAGGATTACGATATATCCATTAGGGTAGAAGGGTAGTATTAATTTAGAGGAATTAGTAAGACTATTATATTACCACCTACCCATCTACATACGTGTAACTCTCATCTTATTAGAATATTCGTAAGAATTGAATAACGAAGAAAAATTATTTAATTTTTACTTCAAAGTGTTCATAAACCTAAAATAAAATTCTTTCACATTAAAGTCACATTTGTATGCGGGTGACATAGGCAATAATATACTCGCACGAAGTCGCTGAGAAACAGTTAGGTAGTATTTATAATATTATACTTCTCTCCTCACTACCCTGACTCTTATGGTATGACAACAACAGATAAAGAACTCGACGAGGCGCTTACCCAGAATGCTGTCAAATTTTATCCGTTACTGGATTACTTATAGTTTATTTTGTTTATTCACAATTAATAGTAATTTGCTGTATGCGCACTCTTAATCATGAAGCTTGAAGCATTGAATCACTGTTTAGTTATGCTTTGAATATTCATAATTTCAGGTCAAACTACAATAAATACTCGTAGCTAATTAACTAATATAAGTGGTTATTCACACTAATTACATGTTAGCCAGTTCAGCAATATGTGGACAACACAGAAACGCAACTAGAATTGTATGAAATTTCATTGGGTTTTCATATTTTAGACAATTAAGTTAATTGCTACCCAATTCATATTGTTTCAGCGAATCAATGACAGTGGTGTTGTCAGCGTTTTATGCAAAATTATTAATAGTTTTAGGAGTAGCACTACCTGTTACTAGCACTATACAAAATGAGATCTATACAAATATTACTACAGACGTAAGTATACAAATTGTTGTACATAATATTTTAAATTAATATCTCAGGGTTACGCGTTCAGAAATACTGAACTGAACCACAGATAGACATAAACTATACTGAACTAACCCTATTAATACACGCCAATATGTATCTATACTCTACTTTTCCGTAACCGAGTGATTCGTACGCCGATTTCAAAGTGTCGCCATCTCTTGATTTGAACTGGGGTCTTGAATCATACATGAAGTATGTAACATACTCAAATATCAAGCTTTTACAGAGCTCTTGCACATATTTGTCACGATCTCCTAGACTATAATTACCAATGCAATAAAAGCACCGCAGTTGAAGACAGACGATAACTGCAAAGTAATATTATATATTATACTACCAAATTATCGTTTTTGTTCCAGGTTTTCACCATGTATTTATATGTCGTCAGCATGGTTTTCTTAGCTTACACTTTCTATCATCTTCGCATTGCAAAAATGCAAAAGAAAAAAGGTATGTAGTGAACATTCATATCTACACAATATAAAAAAAAAAAACCATTCGTGGTAAAAACATTATTTATAACATCTAGAGCACTGCATTAGAATGATTTCAAATAAAAAAAATGAAATCAAATATACACGCTTTAAACTGTTTCCATAGAGTTTTATTAGATACCCATAAGAAACCAGTATCATTCAGATAGGTACTAAGCTTAGTAGCGAAAGCTTATGTGTTATGGTGGTGATTTGCCTTTTTTATACTTAATAAACAGTTTTTAGGAAAAAAAATGACGAAATACAATTGAAACGATATATATTATATAGGTATTTTTTTATTAAATTTGGGTATGTCAGTAGGTAATTAATTACGGCTTTTCTGGTCAAGTAGCTACCAAGTTTCTAGGTGGCATCATCTTAGAGTTACCGGTTTCGAATACTGACGTGTGTAATGTGTGAAAATAAACGTTTTTATATTATTTCTGGCCTGTCTGTCATTTAGCTTCATTAACACATAAACTTTCGCTGCTCAGCTTAGTATCTGAACGACATAATATAATACTACCTATAGTTTCTAATATTCTCGTGCGCTGTATTCGTATTGAAAAAACAACTTTTAATCAGTTTAATGTGTCCATTTTTTAAATGTTTCGAACCTACAGAGCGAACGCGATTGCTCTAGCTATTTACACTTGTACTTTAATAAAGAAGAACGAGTAAGAAAAAATAATGAATGTGGATTTAACAGCGGTGTATTCGACGTAGTCATTTATTATATAATATTCGCTAAAGTGTCGTATCCTATGGCTAGAGAATTAGGTGGTCGCGCCCCTGTAAGTGACGTGACGGAACGAATAAAGGACCCGAAACGTCCAAAATAAAATATACACACGTGTGAATATGTCGATGATGTTTGTATGTTTATTTACTTATTTTTAAGAAAACCTGAAACTTACACGCTATGGCAGTTTCTATTTACACATTGGAGTTGCGGGATTCAGCGTCGGCTCCATTATCTACTCGTGCCTTCAGTTCGGTGGCTACTTCGATTTATCCGGCGATTGTCAGATGGCTATCGTAGCCCTCAAGCCGGCGCTGAGGATATTCTTCATGGTCGCACAGACGGTCTTCATTTTCTCATATACAGATGTAAGTGCTCAATGAAATATCACACCCCTAAAAGTAAACTCAGAACCAACTTTCGATATGTCGTCGACTTCATCGTTCTCTGTCCTACTCTATGACTTTTAAAATACATAAATTAGAACAAGACAGACACAAAACAGTCTCTGTGGGGCTGGATAAAATAAAATGTTAGTATTTGGTTAAACTTCTATGCTATGACAGCCATTGCTATTCTGTTAAAAATACAATGTCGAACACAGCAATGACACAGCATACAGATTTAATGAAATAAGCCCTTTATTACCCCCGAAAGTAGGTTCCTTACAGAATAGAAGTGCAATGCCTTTTATAGAAGGACAATCATTAATTTTTGAATAAAGTTAAAACTTTGTGAATAAAGTGAAAATAATAACTTACAAGTAAAGCCTATTTATTTATCATAATAGGTAATTTTATAGGACGGCAAAAAGTTTGATTTATTTTCAAATCATAATATTTATTCAGTTTAGATTGTTACAAGCACTTATGAAAATCGAAACTCTATACCATCGGTTCGTAAATCTACGGCGGGAGACCTTGTACCGGCAAGAAACTCGGCGAGAGCTGATTTTTTCTCCCTGTTACATTTTATACAGAAATATTTACATTTAAAAATGCCTTCATTAGAATATGAAGGCACTTTCCATCACAACGTTAAGAGATATAAAATAAATACATATTATAATAATTCACTCGTTAATTGATTCACATGCCGAGTCCATCAGCTCACCGATAATTAATTTAATATACATAAGCATGATGAAATAAAATGGACATTTTACTTCGTGACTAACTTTATTTATAAAAATTACTTAATTTTGATAAACAAAAATTACCTACACTTAGTGAAACCTAACCGACAGTGAGGCTTGTGTTGTCTATCGGTGTAAGGGCAGGCGCGGGCGGTACGACCTCAGGCAGCGGAAGCACGACTGATTGAATTCCCTCACCGCCTGAAACTACGGTAAATCGTTTGGGTGCGACGCGATTAAATTTACAACCCCGATTGCTATTTTAATAAACGCTTCAATTTGACTAGCCGAAAAATGAAAACTAAGAAACAAACCTACCTTCGCAAATATTTCATCGACATTATAAGTACAAGCAAACACAAACTTATTAAGTTCCAAGTTAATCTATTAATATAATGATATTTTGAATATTTTAACACATCACACACATTTACCCAGAAAAAGTAATGGGAAATGGAGTGATGATAACCACAACAAAAATATTTTACAATAATTCTATTATGATCATTCAACATCCAGCAATCTCTGTTGATTGAGTAACTTGATTTTATAAAGAAGAAAACAACAAATAACGAGTGATTATGCAAAGTACGTTACTAATTACTAAGGCCTATCCTATATCTTCGAAAACGGAATTTCGTCTATTTTTGAAGTGCACGACTCCAAAGATTCGCATTTTTATTAATTTATAATGCAATTGAGGTGGAACCTGACACTGGTTCTGATGCATAGATAATCTTCAGGGCTTTAACAAAATTAAAGGAAAGTTTTGAAATTTTCCGATCTTTCGTTAGAATACAAATTTAATAATCCCCTAAGTATCATGGTATTTAATAATTCATATGAATAGTTAATATAGGATAATGATCGACATAAAAATGTTTCATCCAGATCCTGGACCCAATGCGGGGAGTCGTCCTCGACAGATTCGGGCTGATGCACCTAATCGCAACTAATGTATGCGAGTGGTTAAACGTCGTAATACAAGAAACAAGAGACGACATTGTCGCTGTTGCTTATGACAAGCCAACCCTTTTGGGATACACCAACATAAGTAGAACATCACATAACTGGATAGGGCCGATTATTCCGGTGGAAAGCAATACAAACAATGAAACTTTTATAAAAATAAGCAATAACACGTTTATTGAAAAGTCCGTCAACCAAGCTGAAGTACATCACATTCCAATGCAAAACTGGACATGCAACGTTTCAGATATGATAGCACCTCTTATAAAGAGCGCAAAACCATACTTGAGGCCCTGTGGAGTGGAGTACAGTCTCCTTTGCTCCGTCATAATTGTGGTCATTTGGAATGATTTATGCACAGTACCGGGGTCGGTAAGTGTCATTTTCAATTTTATCTAGTTTCTCTAACTAAAAGAAATAAATCTTGGGTTAAAAGATGCAAGTTTTCAACAGCATCCTTCTTATTTTAGAATCAACTACTATTCTATTAATCAAAACTGTGACATTTTTAATTCCAGAAATTCATCAGAAATCCAGGCAGGAATATGCAAAACTCCGCCAGAGTTGATTCGCGTCAATGCTGTAATCGGCCTAAATCTAACAACCACTTCTCTGTGGACTGTGGAAGCGCTCACAAAGGCCTGTTCGTGGGCATTGCCGTACTGGCAGGCACTATCGTCAGTCTCATGCTGTTCAACGGACTTTTCCATAACAAAAACTATGTCGAACTTGCTTTATTACAGGTAAATTAATAGCTCTCCAATTTTTACTAAATAATAATTTCAATGCTATATAGTGTAAACAAAATATAATAAACTTATATCAGTAAACAAATTAGGTAATTAAACATAAATCAATAATAAGAAACTTAAAATGAAAACTTCCCATGCCTGTTATTAACGTTTGTAATTAAACATTCTTCACTGAATATGGATAAAGTATAGATGATCAGATTAGATATGAGAAACGGATCAGTTTTCCTCTAGCATTATAGACTAGTTTAATATTTGAAGGTTGCGGGTCCGTTTGAAGTAGGTATCTTAGAATTTTGAAGATCGGTGAATCAATGAGTCGTCATTTCATTAGAAAATTAAAAATCGTTAACCTGAAATTATTCTTAAATTATTCAAAATTCTTCTAGTTTAACCACAACGATATTTCAGGTGATACAAAATGATCCGAATGGCTTATAGAAAAGTACAGTACGGCCGTGTCTTTTTCCTCTTTTTTCGACCTGGTGGGGCATTTTCATATCCCTGATTTTCTGTTTTATATCCACCAAGTTTTTTTTTTATTAAACAACATCTTGTTTTATACAAACTCAAATATGGATAAACAAAATAAAAAAATACTACTATACAATTTAAATGGGTTTAAACAACTTAAAGTAAATATTCACTAGTCGAAAAGATACGTTATCAGACCCCGGCAATAAATTCTTATTATATAAGAAGACCCAACAATTAAGTCAATAAAAGTTGTTTTAGTTTTAGCGGTGAGCTACACAATATTTATTTAACTTCAGCTAGAAACGACTATATAAAATTATTTTCTGCTTACAGATTAATGTTTGGGAAACAATTCTATTCGTGCTAATGACTCTGAGCTCGGCTGCATGTCTCCAACGTATTCGTACGCTACCCATCAAGAAAACCATGCATGCATTGCCGTTGGAACACTCTTTACTTCTAGTCACACAATGTGGCGTCTACCTCTACTACCTCTTCCAAATAATCGGGGCTGGCTTCGTAATTCAACGATATCCTGAAGGACGTCGAGCTACTAGGTATGGTTATGGAGGTCCTCATAATTAAATTAAATCTGACCTTCTCAAAATTTTAATCAGATTATTTAATATTTTTTTAATCACACCTGCCATATGCAGCCTACCCCCATGTAGCTATTAAGCCGCTCCAGATAGATAAAAATAATATTCTCGCTGATATATCTATCAATAAATATTAAACGTGCATTATATTATCATCAGAATTGCCCGGCTTGCCCCCTTAGATCTGGCAGTGTGCCTGGAGCAAATCCAAATTGTGGAAATAGTGACCAGTTTAATATTCTTTCGTTGCACTTTCCGAAGGAAGTTATTATGCACTAGCTTTCCGCCAGCGACTTCGGCCACGTGGTCCCCGGGAATGTTTATTTGGATATCGATTCATATCATGACACGAATTACTATAACAACGTTTTAATTCCCCATACAAATTTCCACTCCAATTTTCATCCCTTTATGTGCTGTTTATCGTAATAAAATATACCCTATGTTCACCTTATATGATGTAACTTTCCGTAGGTGATAGAATATTTAAAATCGATCCAGTAGTTTCGGAGTCTATTTGAAGCAAATAAACAAACATACAAACAAACAAATCTCTCCTCTTTATAATGCTAGTATAGATATAGATAAAATATTTATTGTTACTTAACAGAATATTATCACCGCTTTGCGCTGTAATCCAAAGCTCATGTCAGACTCTGCTAGTGTTGGACTCTTGGTCTCGAAGGAGCGCTGACGTCGCGGCAGGGACACGTCCCGGTCGGCAGCTGATCACATTCCTGTTAGTGGGCAATTTCGCACTTTGGCTTCTCAACCGCGTAAAGAATGCGAGAGCTGAATTTCATCCGCTCCAAGTACGTAAAATTATAGAAATATATTTTAAATGACGATGACGATGTAAATAAGCTGCATGTTCTAACTTAATTTATTCAAGAAAATCTTAAACAATATTAGTTTATCGTGATTGTAGACAAACGGAGGAATGGCTTATTGAAGATTACTTCTTCATTTTTGAAAGCTAAAATTAAAAGAGAATACGTTTTCTAAAGGAGACGGAAATTGGTGGACCCAAATATAATAAATGATCCAAAAAAACAGTCATATTTTTTATCCTAATCTATCATAACTGCTCAGTTAGCAATCTGAAAGCGAAGAATTATAAAAAAGATGAAATCATGGATTCATCAGATGATTGATTAAAATAATATCGATAACTAGTCACTTTGTCTACTTAGCTTTAAATAAATTAAATATCGTCACTACATATAAAACAATAGATAATTATAAAAAAATAATATTGATTACAATCGATTATAATTGTAAGCCCGACATATAAGCTGAAAAACATATTATATTTATATTTTAGTCGACATCACTCGCAGGTGAAGGAAGGCCATATTGCAATGAGGCAATAATACATAAGGTTTTAAAAAATATTAGTTTCCGAAATCAAACTAGATGTCGTTACGGTACTTTCTTGATTTCTCCATAACAACCCTTTGGTTTTCTTTCATGTTTAAAAGCAAATTAATTTTCAAAACTCATATTCTATTTGTACTTTTTCGTATTTGTATTGATATCTAAGTTTCAAACTTTGCAAATTTCAGTTTTTTTAATATGTTAGCTAAAAGGAACAGAAATGACTACCTTTGGACCATTTGTTTCCTGCAAAAATCAACTTTTCTAGAGTCGCCATCTAGTGGAGGTGCTTTTTTGGTACTTTCATTTTGTTTTTAAATACTTCTTAATTGTAGACAGACGCAATGTAGCCTACATTGCGTCTGTCTGCGCCTATGTCATGTAGATGTGCGTAATATCGTACCTAAACTGAGTTACGTACCAAGGTATCAAGGTAATATAATTCTACCTGCACAATTTCTGGATGATATTTTATTAATAATAGAAGATGAATAAAAAATAAAAATATTTTTCTTTACAGCTTAAGAGTCCCACCTACGTATTTAACATTGCATTAATAGTCTACCTATGACTCAGTCACAACTTCAATATAACTAAATAATATATATTGAACATCAGAAATCAGTTATTAGTTATAGATTGTAACATAACCTCACTTTCACTAAACCTCCAATAACTCAGCTCTCTGATTGTTAAAGCTTACAGAATTTTCAGTGAATGAAAAAGAAGTTTGTATCTGTCAAATCACACTATTTCCATGTTATTACATTCTAGACCCAAGATTGTATGTAACTGTTTCAGTCTCCTTTATAGAACTTATTATAGTGCTTTAACAAGCCTTATTGTATAACTTGAAAATTCTCTAGCATTAAAACTAAGCGAGATATGGCGAAAGTAACATTCCTTATTTTTAGGTGATATAAAATTTTAAAATTACGCCCTATTGTTTTACCAAAGTATACTTTTGAAAAGTGTGAACATGGTTTCATGTCTAATTGTCTAATGAGAACCAAAGTCGATTTTTATTACGGTACTACATTTTTAAGGTTCAAATAAATACAGCAAACATAATCTGTTTGCCATGCCTTACATCCCCCCAAATGCGAGCGCTCAAGGCAGTGGCCTAGTTTGCCTATATGGACGGGCCGGCTCTGCTGTAGCCCTGCCGACCAAGTTTTTTTCTGTTACATCTCCAATATTATGGAATGCGTTTTCGATGAAAGCTCCAAGCTGGCTAGACAATTTCCAACGCTTCCAACAATGATCGTTATATTCCTATCTCTACAAAACATTGACAAATAAAAATAAAAACCGTCTTCATAAATAAATATTGCTATTGCCTTTTAGTGAAAACCACACATAAAAATCCGTGCAGGAGTTTTTGAGTTAATCGCGAACAGACAAACGGCGGAGGATTTTGTTGATAGTGATAACAGTTTATATTTCAGATGGAGTTTTTCGGCGTTTGGGCTTGGACACTCATCACGCATGTTTCAGTACCACTCTCGGTTTGCTACAGATTTCAAGCTACTGTGTGCTTCTATGAAATATGGAAAAACTCGTATAAGAAAAATAAAGCCTTGAATGATATTGATTTAATTGATATTGAATTAAAAAACTATCACATTGCCTAATTTATTTTTTCTTTTTACGCTTAAAAAAATTAATATGTTAAAAACCCCAACGTCGATTCCAATACTTTTACAACGATGACAAGCCATCAGTGTATTAGGCGCAAAACGAGACAAACCTCAAACTTTAAGAATCTATCCCTTACCCTCTAACACTTTTCACACATATCCTGATATGATTCTACGGAAACTTGAACTTCCAGTTTGGTACATCCGTCATTTTTGTCTTTAAAAAATAATTAATGTTGACTGATTTTTTGTAATTTCAAAATCTATATAGAATCTGATATCGTAGCAGCCTCTGATGTCACCGATTTTTTAAAAAATATGCATCAGATTTCATTATTTTTGAAGAACATAAATAAATAACCGATGTTATATATATTATAATTTTGAAGGCAGGTTCTACCATAAAGAAACAATTTGATCAGTTCATTTACATATTTAATTTGATTTTTATTCTTTATACAAAATTTAATTAGAGCGTAATAAGAAATAATTAAATAGGTATAGATTTATCAAGAATCTTGTATATTTTGTTTTAGTTTGTACTCTTCATGGTATGGTCATTAAATTATGTATCATAAAATATTTAAAAGCAAATTGAAATGGTGTCAGCGACATCGAGAAGAAAATAAAAGTCAGACATTTTGCCATCTCATCATAAAAAAAAATAATTTTAAGAAATTATGTATAGCCACCAACAAACTCAATATTAAGCCGGAATCGTCTTTAAAACACATGTGTCTATCACAATATGGAATTTCTTAGTACACGCAGCTGTACGTCAGGTTACCACAATAAATCATAGAAGAATGTACACTCTGCATACAAGCGTTGACCTGTAAAATGCATTTTTTAATGTTGATGTACAATGATGCTGATGATTTATTTATGTTTCAAATATGTCCATAAATCATTGTAAATTACTTTTGCAATCAGGAAACTGAGTAATAATAAAATAAAGATTTTGAAGTTTTGTTGAAAGACGTCGAATAGGTTTCATTTATGGGTATAGTGCACGTGAAAATATAAATAATCAATATGATATTAGCTAAGGTTAGCAATTTGTTATGTTAATTAAAAAAAATGATATCTAACACTATAATATTAATTCGTGATAAAAAAAAAACTTCTTGGATCTTACTCATGTCATGACTAAGTTTGTTTATTTTAATTCGACATCTTCCCTATCATCATTTAAAAGTGCTGCTAGTGGAGCGATGTTGTTTTGTTTTGTGCATATCGTAAAAACCAAACTATAGACATAACAGACACAACAGCCAAGAGTAAGTCGTCTCACCAAGCACCTGTAGCAATATTCTACAATGCCTTCTGTCCCATCAATATTATTTTGATTTAACATATAACATAATATTGCCGTCGACCAACTCTTTCTCTCACTAAGGTAATTTCACCGCTTCCCCTAAGATTGTATTCTGTGACATTAATAGTTTCTCTACTAACTTTGATTAAGTAGCTTTCACATGCTCACCGTAATAGGTAGCTAGACGGAATTGATATTTTCCCTTAAAGGCAAATAATGTAAGTTCGCTATATGCCAGATGGGAAAAAATCATGTCCACATTATAGTTAGTATGACAATTCATACTAATGAACAAGGATTCCCTTCAATTAAAGTCAAACTTATTTACTTGATAAATTATTTTATAAGGACATCTCTTTTATAACATTTAATTTGTTAAAATTTGGCAGTATGGCAATGTTCCTGTGCCTATCCCAATGGACAAAACAAACTACAATTATGTACTCAATATTTGACAGCTGTCAGGAAAACATCATCGAAGAGTTCCGTTTTGATCATCTACATGTTTTAAATGTATTTATTCTTTAACCACTCTTTCATAAATAAATAAAACTTCAAATAAAATAATACAATTTGGAATGTTCTAAGATTAATTAACTTGGAGGTAACAAAAAACAATATCTTTTTTAAAATTATCAGTCGCCATGATGCGGACTGTTTCTTTATGAATCTATTCGGTCGAGAGTGAGATGATATATGAGCGCACCTGAGAAAAGTGACCTTTGAATGTATTCTCGAGTTCATCATGCTACGAGTGCTGCTATAAAATATTAGTAGCGATTTTTTTATTTTCTTTAATATTTTTTTTTATCTAGTTCATCATTAACATTGTTTATAAAAAAAAATAGATATTTATAAATAACAAAAAATGCTATTGAAGGCGATATATTACTTTATTTTATCTCGATCCTCGATGTTAACAAGTCAGAATTGAATGTTCTTCTTTCTGCATACGATTTGTAACTCAACCCTCAAAGAATTATGGTTTAAAATCAAGTGGAAGATTTGTATAACTTGACATGCTGTCTACAGTACGTTGATTTTCACAGCAAGGAAACAAATGAATGGCGCTTTTAACACTATTATACACGCTTATTTATCTTTCATATTACAACTGCAACCGCTAAGTGCAACTTAAAAGTTTCCATCTTTACGTCCTTATTTATGCAAGATTCAAGGGCAAATGGCAGACCCAGGGATGCGGTCGCGGGGGTCATGACCCCCCCCCCCCTCCCCTAGGCTGGGTCAAGGCTAGGTAGACTAACCATATTTAAACCTTACCATATTTTTTTTATATATTTTTTGTCCTAAAAAGAGAATGTTTTTTTTGGTACTTTATTCCCTAAATATCTTACCACTATAAAGAAGTATATAATAGCATCTAGACTCAATCTTTTATCTTTCATCAAAGTTTCAGGCGGAAGTCCCCCCGTTTTAGAGAATTAAGTTTAAAAAATGGTATGGTTTGCCTAGAAACACTAGTGCGCACAGCCATAAAACTCATTTAAAAAAATAAAGTGCAGCAAGTTAAAACAAACGCAAAGGGATCTTTGTCCACAGCCTAGCTTTCGATGAGGTATTTTGGGGTAATTACGAAAATGGAGAATAAATAAAATTAAACAAAAAGCAATATGTTGATTATTATTAAAAGATTTTTTACCTAGTAAAAGCCTGTTTCATAGTCAACTTCACCGAGACAAAATGCCTGACTTTCAGGCATCCTGAATAACTTAGCATCCCTAGTAGACAAATCATATATCAATATTGTGAAAATCGAATTCATAATTTGTTTACTGTGTGTTTATTATAAGAAGCCCCGCTCTGAATAGACTCAAACCGGGCCTATTCTGCGTTGACGAGCTTCGATTCACTTAAAGTATCTCTGTATTTGACATTAAGAGGTCTGAAATAACAATGATTAATAGCTAATAAAAATAATATTTCCACATTGTCCAAATAGATTGATTCACAGCATGAATTGGAACATAACTTAGGGATGAGGTTGCCATAGATTTTCCTAATGCACTTATGTGGTGCTACATAAATTATAAAATATCCACCAAATGATTTTCAAATCAGAAAATAAACTTTTGGCGGCGCCTAAAAATAAAATGATGATGAGTAAGGTTTACTTACCCTCTATCGATTAATATATACTTTATGCTTGGTTAGAGATAATTTGAATAAAGTACCAGCCTCTATACAAAAAAAAGTTCTCCTTTGATTCATTTGTATCTATTATTATCAAAATTAAGTTCTTATGACTTGACCACGACTATGTACTTGGTTGGATTGGAAAACTATGTAAATGAACCAAATTAAGGAAGCCATGTTTAGTTCTATTTATGAATGTTATATTTATTTGAACTATCCAACTCGCGCGAACATGACTAATTTTGTTAAAGCTCTCCGATTACTGATCGACTTGACTCTTGTCATATCATTTGTCGCACTGAGAATATGTAACTAGATTAGACTGAATGGTTTATATCTTTTTGCTTTAAATTATCATAACCAGTTAAAAAAAAAGGATGTCTTGATTGTCTGCTGTCATAATGTCAATGTCAGATTAGCTAAGATTGCCAGTCAATCAATTTCTTCAAAAAAACTTGTCGAACTAACCCTCTAATTTCTTATTTTTTTAATCAGTTTGTATTTGAAGGTACATTAAACAATGGCTTCTGTAATGGATGTTGATGAAGAGGAGGTAGAAATGGCCTCCTCCAGTAGTGGAAAAGGTGATAAAAAAAGATTCGAAGTAAAAAAGGTAAACTTTAAAATTCGCAAAATCATTGTAAAGTGTAGTTTACATTACAGTGTTGTAAACTATTAATTTTGTTTCATTGCAGTGGAATGCTGTCGCACTCTGGGCTTGGGGTATGTTTTCAACATCCATTGTCAATTTATACGATTACCTGTGTTTTATTGTCAAACAAAGAAATTGAGTATTAACATAATACATCATAATTTAACATACAAATTTCATCTAATATTCTTACAGATATCGTCGTAGACAACTGTGCTATTTGCAGAAATCACATAATGGATCTATGTATTGAATGTCAAGCCAATCAGGCATCTGCAACCAGTGAGGAATGTACAGTAGCCTGGGGAGTGTGTAATGTAATAGCTTTGAGCTTATAATACCTTCTAAGAAATAGCTCAAACAAACTAATATTATTTATGTCTGAGAGTGACTAAACAATTATTAAATTCATTACTTATTTTCAAATGAGTAATCCAAAGTAGTTTTTGCCCACACTATAGTAGACCCAATAATTTAAAGTGGTAAATAAAGTAGGAAACAGATTGATAATCTTAAAAATACTTCAAGAAAATATATCTGGTATCAAGCGAGACTAGTCTGGCTTTTTTACAAGTATTTTTTAAGATACATATTCATCATCATCATCAGCCCTTTTACATCCCCACGGCAGGGGCTCAGGCCTTCCTTATGGATGGTTGAGGAGGATGGGCTGTAACCCTCCACACTGGCCCAACGCGGATTGGAGAGTATTAACGACTGCAAAAGCAGCAGGATCAATGTCTTAACGTGCCTTCCAAGGCACGGAGTAGCTCAAGATAATATTTTTTTCTTTGCAAAAATTGCTTAACTACAGCGATTGCGGGCCGTGGTGCTTATCCACTATGCCACCGAGATACATATTATGATAACATTATTATTTCAAAAATCAAATCAATAATAATTTACCAAATGATGTGATTAAAAAAATTCTTTTATATTACAGCCTATGATACATTTTATTTTGCTATATATATTCTAAGATACATTTTTTATTGCAGCATGCATTCCACTTCCATTGCATTTCACGTTGGCTCAAAACTCGACAAGTGTGTCCCTTGGATAACAGAGAATGGGAATTCCAGAAGTATGTATTAATTTCTTAATTTTATTATAATTCAAAATACATTATAATTGTCTTTCCAATTATGAAAGGTAATAATTATATGTATGCATGGCCACACATCACACTACACATTACCACCATAAGCAGATTTCTGTTAGTAGGGAAGTTCTATATGAAGCATGGTACAAAATCCACTAGTTGTGTGTACATTAGTTGAAAATTTATTTAAATCTAGGATACATACTATGTTGTAGAGGCCTAATAATCATCTATTTGTGTTATCAAAAATATCTATAGTGCTCAGATTACCTTAACCTCTTCTCTACTATTTGAATGCAACTTTTTATAATCTGGTGTGTTTCTAAAAAGTAAAAAAACAATTAAAATTATAATAATAACTAATTAGTTAGACTAAGACTTCCTTACATATTTCAGGAAAAACCAGGTGCTTTTCTACTATACAGTTTTAAGGGATACTTTAAAATTACTTATGGGTTTGTTGTTTCATCTGTAGGAAAGGCAGGTCCATCTATAGAACTTGGCTTAATATGGCCTCAATTTCTGGATCTTCACTATTTGTGCTTTCGTTCGCTTTGAAAACATTAGATAGGTGATAGGCAAAAGCAGTCTAGTCTTTCCTGAGTTGTTCTTGGGCATGTGCAATTTTGTAATTTGAGAGGTCGAGTTCGCTTTGTTAAATTCCGAAGTAGCTTTCCAAAGGGAATAATTGGATGACTTTGTTGGTGTTAACGACTCTAAGTATGAGGTGGTAGTTTTACTTTCAGCGTCCTTGATTAGGTCTCTAAATTTCACTATAGCTTTGTTTAAAGCTTTTATGTCTACCTCAAGCCTGCTACAGTGCCAAACTCTACGAAGTCCTTTTGTCCTGGATTTTCAATCGAATAGCTGATGGAACGCTATTGTGTTTCGGATACTTATTTTGTTTGTCTGAGGTTGTTAACCAGCAGGCAACTTGTATCAGATTTGTAAGTTTGGTAGCAGCCGCATCGATGTCAGTTCCATGTTTATATCTATGATCTTTCGAAAAGAGTCCCAGTCGGTACTAATGTTGCAAGGGGCCGTCCACTAATCACGTGAGGCTCGAAAGGGGGGAGGGATTTGTCAAAAATCACGAAATATCACAAGGGGGGTGGGAGGGTGTAGTAATATATCACGTGTTTTTATTTTTTCCTCGACGCGCGATTATTATACCGAAAAGCGACGTCAAAAATTAAGATTTTTTGTTTTTTTTTAATAGACGTGATTTGGTTGAATGAGGGAAGGGGTAGTCTTAAACCTCACCATGAATCACCAAGGGGGAGGAGGGGTCAAAAAATGTTGAAAAAACATGCTCGGTGTAAGTAGGACTGGTGTGTGGTTTGAGGGTCCGTCCAAACTTGCATCCGTTTTAGAGGCGTATTGTGACATTCCTTTGCAAATATAGAAGTCTATTATGTCTGTTAGTTTATTGGTGTCTTTTGGCAAGTGCGTTGGTTCTGAAGTAAAGAGCATAATGAGGTGATTGGTGTCTACAGCTTGTTTTAGTTGTCCTCCTCTGGTGGTAGTTATCCTCGAACTCTAATGGGTGTTTGGAATTCCAGTCTCATCCGGAAATAAACCTTGGACCCAAGGTCCTAAAGTAATGAGAAAATTGCATTATTTGATATTATGTTTTGGCGGACAATATACTGCTTTTTCTTTGTGGCTTATAGGTGTTCAGTTTGATATGGATCCAGTTCGTGATGTTTCATTGGAGATCTTACAATTACAGCAGCTCCACCATGAGCAGTTCCATCTGAGTGATTAGAGTTATAGAGAGTAAAGTTTTTAATGTTTACCAACCTTTGGTTAGTAAAATGCGTTTCAGAAATGAGAAGAATATCCAGTTTATGGGTACCTAATAGCAATTTGACTTCTTGTAGATTTGGAGCAAGTCCATTTATGTTCCATGTAGCAATATAGAGCACATGATAGGTATTTTGACAGTTTTTCGACAAGAGTTACAATGAAGGTCATAAGCGTGCTCGTTTGATTAAATAGTATATCCGTTTTTCCATTTGTTTTATTATTAAGTCCTGACATACTTTGGCTAGCGTAGAGTCTGGTCTGGTGTCGTTTGTTGTTCGTGCAGCTTAATTGACCAGTGCGTGTTGTTGGCGTTGTCTTTTCTAATGTCTAGCTGTCGTAACTAACCTTTCGTATCGTTTTCATTCCTTAGATTTATATCACTCATTTCACTCATATCGATAAACTTTTTAATATTTTCCATTTATATTCTTTACTTGATCCATTCTATAACTGTGGACCTTCAATTTTATACCTGTAACCATTAAAATTTTGTAATATAAACTTATCCAAATCTCTACGAACTTTCATCCTATGTTTTTTACTATTTACACTAATGTGAACCCTTACCTGTAGCTTTCATAGTTTTTCGATATACATTTTACGAATTCTAATTATATTTAAGCACTTATTTATATATTATAACACAAATTATCGCTAATTTTAATTGTTTTGACATAATTGACATCAAAGTTTTTCTTCGTTGCTATGGTTATATTTGATACTCTTCATGAAAATTGACTCATTGTTTGTCAGTTTTAGGCATTGAAACTCTGTAGTTTTTGAATTTTTAGGGTTCTAATTTGAAATCATTTACTTCTAAATTTGAGTTCGTCTTCAGGTATAAATAGCCTCGCTCAAATAGTTCTTCATCATTTCAACGACAACAGTTGCCAAGTTAGCTTTTTGGAGCTCGTACAGAGCTAGCTAAATTCTTAAAAGGCCTAATTCCCGGGGCCGACTGCCCCGGGAACTCTTCAAAGTTACGGTCTCAAAGTCGCATGACATCTTTTTGGCTTTAACTAGACGACAACAAATCAATACTCCACTATAACCTCCTACGCTACTTCACTCCTGGAGGCTGGCTGCGAGTATACGCCTTAGACCCGAGCTGCTGCTCAGTTCTTGGCTGCCGAAGAATCTCCAGTACGAGGCATCGAGACTACTCCTCACCGATTTACGCTCTCAGTTCTTGGCTGCCGAAGAATCTCCTGTTCGACGCATCGAGAGACTACGCCTCGCTAAATTTACGCTCGGGATCCAGACGCCCCTCAAGACTGCTGAAGTACTTCATCAACGGAACTTCACCGCTGACCCACGCCCCTTCACCTACAGACACTCTCACTCACACTTCTACACTTTTCACCTCACTAATCACCTCGTCCCTTTTATTTTATTTTTTTGTCTAATGTAAATAAATTATTTAATTTGATTTAGCATCTTTTAGTTCTTTTTATATCTTGTTTCATAACATAGCTTGTTAGGATTAGCTCTATTGTCTTCTTGTCCAAATTGGCTCTGTGCTGTTCGGGGGTAAGTTACTTCAGAATAACTTCTCTTTTGTTCAAGAGTCTTCTTCATAGATTTACATGTTGTTATGTTCTCGGTTGGCTAACATTATTTTTATTAATAATTTCTCGTGTATTTTTATTTGTTCTGGTTCCAGTTGTTATAAATTGTAATCCGGGAACGACATCCTCATTTGTTGTTTGATCTAATGTTTGCTTTCTAGGTAACCCATGACATTTATTTTTTCTATTAAGAATTCTTACATATACTTTACAGCCTTTGTAGTTTGCTGGGTGTTCACCTAAACACAAAGCACATTTGGCAGGCGTACTTCTATCTTTTTTATGCAGTCAATGGTTTTATGTTGTCCAGCGCATTTCACACATCGGGCTGGTCTTAAACAATTGTTTTTAGAATGCCCATATTATTTACATTTTGTGCATTGTACAATATTTATTATTTTCTTGGAATCTACTATAATAACTGTTGTGTTATAGATATACCTAATACTGTTAACTGCGTGATTGTTTAGGCTTCGTTCGAGATTAACAAAGAAGGTGGAAGTTGTTTTTTTTTCAGGCCTTATTCTAGCATTGATTATTTCTCCACGCACTTTATTACCGGCTTTTTCGATTTCCTCGATAATGGTGTCATGTGGTGTAGAGTGATGGAGATTTCTTATTAATATCCTGTAACATCAATAATAACCTAAACTAATTAACATACACTTAAAAGTCATTCACTACCTACACTTTTAATATTTTTCATGCTTAACTGATCAAGTGTCTATGCTTATTATAATTATTATATTGCTTGTTGCAGGTATGGACATTGATAACAACATCAAAATAATCTCACAAAGAAGACACCTTCTAAGTTATTTGATGGGTTAAATAATGTCTACGTTACCTTAATTTTTTCTAATAAATACAACTCAATTTCTTAAAATCGTCATTCTTAATTTTACATTATTTGAGAAATTATTATTAAAAAATTGTAATATCTATTAATCCAATAAAAAAAGTAAACATTTCCTATCCACAAAAATTGTTTTATGGAAAAATATTTGTGGCCCCTTTCCCCATTATTATAAAATAGCTTACTGACAGCGGCTTCGCCCTGAATCACTCCTGATTTTAATGCGTTTTCATAAAAATTATGCAAACGAATAAAATCCGTTGTAGAGTTTAAAAGATATTATTACCTTCATTTGAGTTTAGAATATTACAGTTATAATATCATAAAATATAATAGCATATAAGGAGTAAACTTTTAAAGTCAACTTAAGTGCGATAGTTTTCCTTTTAACTTCGTTATTACACTCACAACCGCCCACCTGTATCATTCATCATACTGTTTATTTCCTAAATTTGTGTCAATGAGGGGTTTTCGGAATTTAGTCTTTTTACATTGTTGCTATTGTGTTACCGAGTTAACTTTTTCCTGTTATTTTCTGTCATAGTGGGCGAATATTGTTTAATTTGAAATAATAGTGTTTGCTCATTGTTTGTGATTGCAAAAAATACCACTCGATGCAACTGATGTAGTTAGGGCAGTGGCTTTAGCTGATGCGGGGTATAGCCAGCTCGCACACTCTGTATGCCTCAAACTACGGTACGAGATGCTATCGGACGATTTCGAGAGACAGGCTTATACACCCGCAGGCCAGGTCAAGGCTGACATCGATGTGAATCGACTTAAGATGACCGTCTCATTGTCACCAATGTGTTTAGAAATCGCTTTTCGACCGCTACTGAAGCTCGTATGCGACTTTTTGAGGTGAGATATGTCAGTGTCAGTGAACGTACTAATAAAAGAAGACTAACATATTATAGTACTTTGAGGGCT